TGTATAGTGAAATCAGATAGTTTTATGCCGCCCATACTTTACGAGCAATCTAAATGCTCGAACATTACTCGTCCAGAAACGTTGAAAACTTTTAATAGGATTTGCGTCTCAAGTAATCTTTACTGTTATCCTATAATAATGTACATATGTATGTTTTACGATATACTTAAATTAACAGGACGAACTTAAAAATTTCTATATCTATATATATGTGTGAATATAAATAAATTTTATATATGGAAAATAAAAAGGTTTAAAGTTTTATAAAAATGATGATTTTATTTAAGGAATTATTTACGAGTAATGTAACATTTCTTCAATTTTTACAATTAGAATTTTGTATTTGTAAATTATATTTGTGTCCTGTTAACTTTTACCTATTAAAAGTTAATTAACTAATCTAATGAGCTCACTAGAAAATTGGATATCAAAACAACAATAAATCACCACTTCTTTTAAGATTATAATTTAAAAACACTGTAAAGAATATAAGTAGAAGACACAGATATAACACAATTCGCACATGTATCGTATCTTTGTTATCGCTACAGATATACAATTGCTTTATTATTAATATAGGTATTCATCAATCATAGTGTCGGAAAAATACCTATATATATTGACCCAAAAATTCTGTCATAAATGCCAGCGTAGAGAGCCAAAAACGTCATTCTGCTACTCTCGTTTCTTTTACATTCTTAACTACTCATACATATAGCATTTGCTCCTATGTAAGCTTCTTTTATGATAGAACGAATAAAAAGTAATTCGTGTAAATCTACTCTCTAACGAAATTAGCCACATTTTATAAATAATCAGATTCTTTTTAAGCATAAATCAAACATAAATAAAGAAGTACCTATCTCTTGATAATTAATTCATGATGTACTTTTTCTCATCTTCTACAATTGTCCATTATCTTTCTACCGAGTTCTTTCCTCTTTTATAAGACTTCTGCCGTGACTAGTTCCATCGTTTCGAAGTTAGCGTTCGGAAAAATCATATTATTATAAATCGTACTCTTTATATACTATACCATACTACACGCTATTTATACAATTAAATGGAATTATAATGATATTACTGTAAATGGTATTCACGTTTCTATAAGAACTTATATACATGCGACTATAGAATAATTATTATTCAATTCCAAGTCCATTCTGTAACTGCAACGAGAAGAATCGTAGCTAACCTTTTGCCACAATCGATCAACATTGCAATAAATATCGAATTTATTCCGAAGAAACTGTTATTTATTGCGAGTTCGAAGAGTTCGAATTAAACTTAAAATCTTATCAATAAACAAAATTAAGCATCAATTCTTGCCAAAATCGCTTCCTTCGATGTCAACGCTTCTATATTAACCATACGGCGATAAGTTATAGCAATTCATTTTTGCAACTTTCTCGGATCACCCCTTAATGCCACCCTCGCGTATTTATCGTAGCTACGCGTCAGGGTGGCGAATTACAAGCTGTTGCATAAGTAAGCCCGGGGGATCTCGGCTTGTCAACGAAGATACGCGGCACATTAACGTTAATACCGTTACGATTTCTGTTGCTGCGTAACGTTTTGTTATTGCAAAACTGCTGGTCGAGGTACAAAGCCCCGCCTGGGGTCGATCTAAAGGGGTTTGCTTGCGAACTCGATTGGCCAGCGATATCGATGCGTTGCCGCGCGTCATCCAATGGCGTCGCGACGCCGGGTTGCGCGGACGCCATGACCAGAAGCTGACTTTGCGGTACCCCGGCGCTGCCGTGGACGCCGTCAGGCGACGTCGACGACGTTCTCCGTCGCGTACCCCGCGCGCTACCGCTACCCACTCCGCTCGTAACCATATCTGGACTTAATTATTGGTGAGTGGTGGTTTATTCGTTATTTCTTTCTATGAAAAATTTACATTTTTCTTTGTGTAATCCTTGCTTTCCCTCTAAACAATCGTGTGACGCGAGTAATGGTCGATCAGTTTTCGCATTCGTATCATTGCGATGGGGCGACTCGAAGATTCGGTGGTCTCCTCTCCATGACGATGGTTTCGTGAAATGGTGGAGAAAGATGAAATTCAGTCGAGAAAGCGACGTTGTGACGTATCTCGGTGCGAAAAGTGAGGTGTTTCTGTCAGGAAATTGGTAAGACTAGAATTCTGTCTGATAGAGCTTTCAAGCTTCTCTGTGTCACCCGATAAAGTGATAACAACGTTTTTGATTTTTTTGGCTTACGGTGGATTTCATTGGCATTGGATTAAAATCTATGATTCATACATGTGTTTCCAAGTGATTTCCTACGGTGGAATTTGCTCGTGCGAGTGAAAGTGTACAAGGAACGATTCGGAATGAATCGTGACTCTGCACGGATACAGCCGGGAGATTTGTGCAAGGACGGATCGTGGAAATGTCAGGGATTCGAAAAAATATCACAGACTTTTTCGTATTGATCTGCCGGGGATGTGCATCGAGCTCTGGCTTCATTTCATTCAACATTTTTCCTCCTTTTCCTCTGGATCTTCTAAATCCTAGTGAAGCTACTTTTTCATTTTGCAAAGACGCTCGATGTAATAAAGTTTTTATTACTTTTACGAGAAGTTTCTAATAAACGTTCTGCACAGTTAACAATCTATCATTAAGAATTCAAATTTTATCTTTATCAAAAATTGGTTTTAATTATTGGCTGAAATTCTGTCGAAAATGTAGATAAAAGTTGAAATTTATATAGAGATTTCTTTCATCTTTTAGAATATTCAATACTATATCTTTCGTTTTGTATATTCCACTTGTTTTACTTCATTATTTTAGTAACGACATCTCTTTAACACAGGTAGACAAATGCTAACTGTAGTTACAACCATTCTAATTTTTTAATACTAAAGACACGTAAATCTAGAATAATCGGGATCATTTTCACAAACGAATAGCTAATTAGCGAATAATCGATATTCGAACCAGTTCCGTACGACTGGCTCCTACAACAAGAAACGTTTCTCAAAAAGTATTTTGCCACTTTCTGTTAAGAATTCGTGGAAGAACCACATAAGAATATGCAACGAGTCCATTAAGTGAAATCGGCCGTTTCCATCTTCATCGTTCCACCCCAGCTCGTTAACACACGTGCTGTCCATTTTCTGCCTTTTGTCTGTCACGTGCCGTTTTAATATCCGACATCCATTGTCCCTCGATACGTTTCTTTGTGATCGACTCGATAGTGTGCCAACAATTTTTTCCTGTGCCCATCCATGAAGGTGGAAGTCGTCTCTCTGATAGCAGTCGTGTCTCGATCGATCCGTTCTCTATAAAATTCCACAAAGGAGAATCATTTCCAAGCAACATTACATGATAATCTCGATATAAGGATATCGAAATCTATTTGTACTATTTTCAGTTACTAATTATATTCTTCCATGTCTCGAGTAACTTGATGTTAATCATTTAGATGTTAAGAATAATTCATTTTATTTTTGAAAGATTTTATAGTAATGAGAGATTTTTTAACTTGACTAAGGACAATTATTGGTCTATTTCTGAATTCTTATATTTTACGAATTTTCTAATTTCATTTTTTATCGAACTTTTGGTTTATGGTACAATTTGTGATATTTAAAAAATAGTAAAATGTCCCCTCACTTGTTCGTATAATAATAACTGATAGATTGTTAATTTGTTTCACTTTTTTGTAACCATACTGTCATTATGAAATAAAAAAGATTTATATTAGATACAGAATCATTTTTATCTAAATTCTCTTATTTTCTCCATTATTTGATATTTGGATGTATTAATTTCTTTCTGTGTTTGTTCGTTTTATTGCGTTGTTATGTCTTAACGAGATTTCCATCGTTGTAAGATTTTCAAGAAAAACATTTTAATTTTGGTACATGTAGCTTTATTTTATCAGAACTCTTGATATATCGCACGATATTTGGACGAAGAACTATAAGGAAAAATAGGAGTTAGGAAGAGCGCGTTTCTTCTCGCATTTTTCTACCCTCTGGAGATGTTCCCCGGAGAGTTCGGGGATTAGGGTTGGAGAGACTGCCACTCCAAACAAACACCCCTACTACAGAGCTCCCCTTGCGTTTCGATATTGAGAACGAACGTTTCCACACAGACGTAGCTCGTACTTGGAAGAGAAAATGCGAAGGATGGTTTTAAAGATTTAAGCGTTCGACTGCTGAAATTGTTTGAACACCGATTAGTTGTTCGTACAAAATAGGAGATTGTAGCGGCATTCGTGCAATTTGCTCAATAAAATTAAAGAGAATATGTTCTTCTTCAATATTGTGATTTATTTTATTATATATCCAATAAATAGGAAATTGACGAATGAACGTTACACAAATGACGAAATATAAAATTACGGACAATTCTATTCTGTTATTATCCTATTATTCTTTGGTAATGTTTAGTTATATGTTTAGAAATAGTATTCATTAATTAGAGAATTAAATGGAATTTTTATATCTGTTGCAAAAATACTACAATATATTTTTAATATCTGTTTCCATTGTTACTTTTAACTTATCTTCCATATTTGTCCATCATACATCCGACCTAAATTGTATTATTATTCTTTTAACGTTTCTATTCGTATAAAATAAACAAGTAAACAATTAACGAATCATATCAACTATTTGTATTTTATTATTTCTTTCAAAATGTTTTATTACGTTGAGAAGATTTTTCCCTCCTAATCTTACGATCAAATATCACAAAAATTATTGAACTTGACGAATAATATAATAAAGGTCCTATCATTTATCAATATACCTACGGAGGATAATAAAATATTAATTTTTATTATTCATTTGCATTTAATTACATATATAATTTAAACAATTTTATTACATGCAAAAAAGAATCATTTGTTAGAAGAACGTTCGTTCAGTGATGTCTTTGATAATGATGGAATTTATGTTGGTGATTTATGATGGTTGATGTGCTTCAGGGGCTGCCAATTGCCAACGCGACCATTTGCAGCCTGAGAGCAACCCCAATAATTGGAAAATGTCCGGATTTGCGGCGGCGGGCCTCGTGGCCTTCGACTCCATCAAGTCCAAAGCATCGCGGAAACTTGCTGGGTAATGTCACGCATGCTCGTATACGACGTGTAAGAGACGAAAAATCGTTTAAAGGCTATATTTAGCCAGCGTACATTTATATCTGACCATGCGCGTAATTAAACGCACATGTTCTACGCGAATTTCTAATTGCTCCCTGTTATGTAATCTGCCTTTTTTTTTTAGAATAATCTTGCGAACGAGTTTTCAATGTTTTAGTAATCTCAAGAAACGTAGGTTGCCAAAGCTGCATATAAAACACATCGAAGAATTGGAAATAGATTTTCACATTCTGGACCTTAGCTCTTCTCGTTTATAAATTGAAATGTTAATTAGTATGCGAAATGAAAAATGTATACTTGTTATAGGCGATAAAAAGCTGTACGTAAAACGTGTCACTTGTGACTTTAGATTAAGAAGAAGTAATGCCGGCTACGAGGAATTCGAGATGCCCCGCGAGGGTAGCAAAGACAATAAGGGGTTCGAGGATGAGAGAGAATACAGTAGACAAGCTTCGTTCGAATCACTCCCGGAACCTGAACGACCCCCATTGCGCCATATCGATACTTATTGCAAACCAGAATGTCCCTGCCTATCGAAAAGATACACCATTGCCACTTTGGCCTGTATAGGTGAATCTTTAAACATGCTCGTATTTCTCCATTTTATTCTATCGTATCCCTTAATCCTTTAATGGTGCGCTAAAGTGATATAGAGTATAGGATAAATGATTTAGAAAATAATTATCTTCTTATTTTCAAAGTTTCTTGTAAGATTTCCGATAATAAATATAAATTATATATTTTCAATACCTTATAGGAAATATGTATCGATTAACTTATAGTAATATATATATTATTTGATGATTTATCCAATTCTTTCTTTCACTGTTAAAGGGTTAACATTTACTGTATCGTCTTTGAAAAAATGATATTATACGCTTAATAAAACTGATCGATATTCCCTTCAGGATTTATAATCTCATTCGGCATGAGGTGTAACATGGGAATGGCGAAAATGGCCATGAAGAATGCCACCGAAGATAACGCCAACCACACTCTCAGGTTCAACTGGACAATTGGCACAGAGAGCGCCCTGGACTCGTCCTTCTTCTGGGGTTACCTTGTGACTCAAGTACCAGGAGGATTCCTCGCCTCCCTGTACCCTGCGAACAAGATATTTGGGGCTGCAATTGCCGTATCTTCGTTTTTAAATCTGTTGGTACCTGGCGCACTGAGCATCCATCCAATTGTCGATATGATTGTACAGGTCATAAAAGGATTGGTGGAGGTAAGATATTATTCTCATCGAAATAATAATAAGATATAATTGGATCGCGGCTAACACTGTTAGTGGCTTTCAATCGTGAAAGTATTAAGATTATAATTGAATTATTTCTTTGAGCGATTTTCACGACGGATACTCCTTTCTCTGGCCAGGGTGTTACGTATCCAGCGTGTCACGGTATCTGGAAATATTGGGCACCACCGTTGGAAAGATCGCGTTTAGCGACATTGGCATTTTGCGGTTCTTACGCTGCTATGGTAATAGGAATGCCACTCTCGGGCCTTTTAACTTCGACCTTTGGCTGGGCAGCGTCCTTTTATTTCTATGGTACGTTAAGATTATGTTTTTTGAGTAGAAAGATGTTGAAGTATTTATGCGTATTTATCAGTCAAACTCTGTCAGTATATTCCATGTGTATAATCAATCAAAGAATGTTACGCGAGAATAGATCCTTTATGGTGTAAAAAAAAAGGTGAATTTAAAGCTGTATTTGAAAAGTTGTAATAAAAATACGAAGAAACAGTAATAGACGCGTGATTTCTATAATTAATAATCCGATTATACAGGTATTTGCGGATTGATTTGGTACTGTTTCTGGTTGTGGCTGGCATTCGAGAAGCCATCGAAACACCCTTGTATTTCGGCACGTGAGTTGCGTTACATCGAAGATTCACTTGGCCAAGGACAATCGCAGTTACCTATGGCGATGCCAACATTCGCGACGACACCATGGCGAAAATTTCTGACGTCCATGCCAGTTCACGCAATTATCGTAGCTAATTTCTGCAGATCCTGGAACTTCTATCTTCTAGTGCTCTTTCAAGCTCGTTTTATGCACGAGGCTTTCGACATGCCTCTAGTTGAAGTGAGTTTCCCTCTTTCAAACTGTTAGATTTTAAGATGTCGAAGCTTAGCCGACTCTCGCACGTTTATTTGCTATAGAATTTAGAGATCAGTCACGTGAGAATGTCAAGAACAAGAATAAATAAATTTTATTCCTTATAAATTATAGTAAATGAATTTTTACATTATTAAATAAACTAACAGTAAGAGAGTCGAATGGTTATCTACATAGAACGTAGAAACTCGTCACATATCAAGAACGAAAATAAATAAATCATATTCGCTATGAATTTACACTAAATGAATTTCATTTGTTACAGACTGGTGTAATTGGCTCGCTCCCACATCTGTTGATGACGATGATCGTGCCTTGCGGAGGTCTGTTGGCTGATTACATTCGCAAACGTGGAATATTGTCAACAACAAACGTCAGGAAGCTGTTTAACTGTGGCGGTTTTGGTATGGAGGCTTTATTCTTCTTGGTGGTATCTCACGCAACCATGAAAAGAAATGGGACAGCGGCAATCTTCGCGCTAGCGTGTGGTGTCGCGTGCAGTGGTTTTGCCATTTCTGGCTTCAACGTAAACCATTTGGACATCGCTCCCAGATATGCCAGTATCTTGATGGGAATGTCGAATGGAATTGGAACGATAGCGGGTCTGTTAGTACCCTTCTTTGTAGACAACATCACAGAGAAGAAGGTATTGATTGTGCAAATTTTAAATGTTCCTTATCAATCCTTGTATCGTATCAAACGAATTGTTTTATTTTTAATATCAGCATATAAAAATATTTACGAAATAATTATTGATCATTTATGTGTTATTTCTTCATTATCCTTGCTTTTTCTAACATCTTATTTCTTCTTCTTTCTTCCAGTTTCTTATTTTCTCTAAAATAAAAGAAATTTCATAGATATGATTATTTATAAATGAATTAATATCATCGTTATTTTCGTACGCTTTACAGGACACTCAAAGTTGGAGAAACGTGTTTATCATAGCAGCGTGCGTGCACATATTCGGTGTAATATTTTATGGATTTTTTTGTTCCGGAGAGCTACAACCTTGGGCTGATCCTAATTTGGACGAGCAAAAGACGTTCGCTATGGATGAATTTGGACAAGCGAAACCACCTCTTCCTCCACCACCGAAGACTATGCAATCCGAATTCATAGTACGTATTATTTTAGTGTATTTATCCATTTTAGTATTAGCCCCTTGGCCTATAACCCCGAATCAGACTCGTGATAAAGAATTTGTGCCATAAACGGAACCCACGGATTCATTATCTACTTTGAAATGATAAATTGTTTTAGTTAACCGATCAATTGATCATGACTACGCCCTAGACGTCTTAAAAGTACTATTTGTCCTCAAACGTTGTTTATTATTTCACAATTCCTTTTGTAAATTACATCCTAAATATACATATCATAAGAAGTATACATTTTGCGCCAGTTCGGGCACACGGCCGAACAGATGAATGGCACTTCATGAACTTCTTGCTTACTATGGCTCGCGCGATCGGCAGATAGCATGTAGGCCAAGGAGTTAGATAAATATCATATGAATATACATATATTTGAAAGCTTAAATAGTCAATTGTTCTTCTCTCCATATATCAATTGTTTCATGTTATGTATATTAAAAATTGTCCATTTTTCTACTACAATTTCATATATACATTTTTATTTTATTTTCACGTATATAGATTCCATATAAAATAATTTCATATCCATGGGGTAAATTTCTAATCCTCTTTCTTTATAACACTATCTCTGTATGTATATGAAGTAATATTTTTTCATTTCACAGAGACAACCATCCATGGGTGATGGTGCAGCCGACGACTGGAATAATTACGATCAACCACCAGCTGCGGATAACATATACGCTCAACAAGAAAAACCACCGGTGATAAGCTACGGATCAACGGAAACCAATAGCAACAATCCCTTCCATTCTACAAATCCCTTCGCCAGCGATGTAAACGCATCTCTGGTACAACCACCAGCGACGACCGATTACGCATACGACGTAACACAGCAGAATCAACAGTGGAATTAAATTCATCGATTCCCGAACAAATTGGACGGACGTAAGGATATCTGTTTAAGCTGACTGATCATTTAATCGATTATGTTTGTTTCATAACTGCGTCTAGTACTTCAATGAGTCCATTTGCTTACTGTTGCCTATCATTGCGACGATGTGAATTTTGATAAAACATTTTCCATAGTAATTTCTCTTTGAATATTTTTCGGAGATTTCTTCTTTTAACAAGAGAATTACTTTCTTCTAGGATTAGATGGGAAGTATTTACATTGTTTCAACAAAAGCTGGTTACTCATTTTTTTCTAAAAATTGAGCACACACACATTTAATCCTTTTGCTGTAAAAAGGGTATATATATATAAGCAGAATTTTTAAAACACATTAAATGCAATTACGGGTGATTTATCTTTTTTTTATTTAACGAATAAAAGCAGGAAGTTTAAGATACTTATGGAAAGATATAAAGTAAGCAACTATTAAGAAATTGAAGTACTAGAGGTTTACTGAAAGAGCATCAAAATAATTTCTTAACAACTTATGATGTTGAAACATCAATCGATACAGAATTGCTGGCTTTGTATTCTCAATTGAAGTACAAGGAAATGTTCTCTTTTTGCAATACCTAAGAGTGCAGGGTATGGTGCTGTAAGTTGATGCACACGAATCGACCAAACAAAACGTTTGAACGTAAAAAGAGGCTTGAGATATCCACAAAAGAGTATCAAGAAGCGTCGAAAACGACTTAGAAAGTGGATATCGAAATATCGTAAGATCTTTTAAGAAAACATTCGATCGAAAACAGAATTATAAGAAATCAAGAAAGAAACTTTCTACATTAATTATTTATCAGTATAACTTGCGCATTTCGAAGTGAAACCAAGCTGACTATTTTATAAATCTGACATTGGCCTGCTGGTTATGTAAATCGTCCATTTGGTAACCTTTAATGTAATCGCAAACGAAGAAGTGGACATGAGTGGCCTAATTGAGAAGCAACTCGAAGGTCGTAATAATCTTTTAAGAAAACATTTCAACTATTGCTACTTATTTAGACTCTTACTATGGAACTAAAAAATTTATACGAGCATACTTATATGCAGACAATAAGCAACTGCCAAACCTTCGTAGACAATAATTTGATAATCAAAGACAATAATACTAAGAAGGTTTGGCGAAGCGACGGTGGAAAAATCAGTTCAGCACGATCGCTGAAACTTTTAGGTATTTTCTATGTTACTCTTCAGTTTGGCACTGGTAGCAGATAATTCAACGATGAGAAAGTTTAGAAACATAGCAATAAAAAAAAACCAATATTGAAAGTATTATGCTGATTGTCGAGAGTGAAAAACGAAGAATGGTATGCACGTCGCAGTTATGGCGCGTATTTTTGAAATAGTACAACCCGGTCCTCGATGATAAGCGAACGTACGGTAACTAGAACGAATTAATTATCGAAACGTCAATATTTTAACAGTGGGCTGGCGGGTTCTGTTAATTAATGCATTACTCGAGAACGCTGCTTCGTATAAGCGTTGGAACACGAGAAAGGCATTAATACGTTTATTCGGGTACAAGACGTATCATAGACGAGATTACGTTACTTAAGCCTTTCGAGTTTAAATGTAATACACAAAAACACGGATCCTAGCGGAAACGTATCTGAAACGTATGAAAGTATTCGTAAGAAAGTGATAAGATGAAAGTATTAGTACGTTAAGGCATTAAAGTACCGTAGGGCTCTATTTGTTGGGACCTGATCTCTTCGAGTGAATTCTCATCTTGTGCACCGACAAGAGGATCTTCCATAGAATTGATAGCCTCTTCAAACACGTATCTTCCTTCATTTTTTTTACCGTTCCTCTTATTTGAAATTCAAATCATATTAATAATTTATCGTGATACTACAAGATACTATAACTTTAATAATAAAAACTCTATTTCAAGCTCTATTAATGTGAAACACGTCATATATGAAACGTAGTAGTATGTTCGAGTTGAAATATGTAATTAGCGTTTATACGGTGATTTTTCTGAGCGTAGAACAGCACATTTTTAAATAGGCCACGGATTTTTATGTGTCTACGTAAAACTTAAGGATGCAACAATTGACAGGATACAGTATATAGAAATATAAAAATATAAAAATACGAAATATTCAAAGTAGAATACTCGTTATAATTTTTCAGAAACAAAACTTCTACTTACCTTCTGTTTCGTTAGTCGTGTCCGTAAAAGTATAAATCTGTATAAAAATCCGCAGTCCACTTATTAAACAGAAATGCTGAATCACTGAACGCTTAATATGAAACAAAGAAACAGAGGAGAGTCTATTTCTAACAACGAACAATTAACATAAAAGTCCATATACAGTTAAAGCTGGATCAATAGAATTCCGATACGATTACGATAATAGATATCAAGGATATCGTAGCTTTCAACGAAGGTAATCAGCAAATATCCCATTAATGTTTAGATGATTTTACAGTGCGTGATGTACAGCGCAAAGATAATATCGTGTTTGAAGAAGCTAAGCAATTTAGCTATCACAATTTAGAAATTCGTGAATATGTCAATATCGATATGTTATTCGAAGCTTCTCACGATACGTCGTAATGTTTCTTGAAAAATGGTGTATAGACGGTATCGAGATCCTGGAGTTATTCAGAACAACGGTGCCACGGTTCGGATACATCGAGTTCTACTGTACGTATTTGATGAAAGTATATCCATGAAAGTTCGAACGTCAGTTCGAGAATTAGGAACAAGTCGCGTTATTATACATTTGTCCTAGGTGTTTATACTTCATAATTGTTATACATACATAGTATTCACACATGGGCATTTACACGGTACACATGGGCATTCACACACATACACACATATACGTACAAAAGAGTATATATATATATATATTTCGTTACTATATTCGAACGTTGTTGGTGATTTTTCATCGCCGATATCAGAGAACAGAATATATACACGTTGAGGATGATATAACATCCAATTTATTGCATTATTTCATGGTCGAGTCGTAACGATATAGATGTATACGTATACATATTCGTACGTTGAGAAATAATACGTGATACATGTACGGATATCGATCGATCGTTTGTCAAATTTTAATTCAGCAGGCAAAAAATTAAGAAATAGTAATTGCTCTGTCGAAAGTAGGAAAAAGTATTCAGGATCGATATTACACGTGTAAATAAAATAAAAGTTTACGAAGGAAACAGTCTGTATATTGAAATCAAATTGTGTCGTAACTGACTGAAATTATAATAATATGCTATGCTATCCACATATCTGTTAGCGAAAGCTCGTGGCATATAACCTTGAATTGGTTGATTTTAATATCGTATATCAATGTAAATTAATATTTTCTTTCATCGTGCAGTAAAGTTTTGCAAGAAATAAATTTTTCAAAATTACAAAATTTTTACAAAAAATACATGTATCAAGAACGATCGATCGATTCGTTATACACGTCAAACGTCTAATCACAAAATTACATGAAAGTACTACTATATACATACTTATATTATTCGAACAGCCCTCCTTTTCGTTGCCCGAGGATTCACGAGATTAGTCAATTTGCGCGATATCTATTTCTAAAAGAAATTATAGATACATAATATGAGATATATACGGATATTTACAAGTATATACATATATATGTAGCCGATATATATAATTCAACGCGCTAAATGATGATTAAGGTTAGATATACATTTTCTCGGTCATGTCGTGGTGTAATTAATATTATACACATACCCATATACGTATGGAGCCCATGTTGCAGCATATGATACTAATTGTAAGCTAATCATACTAATCCTTTCGTATCAAAGTTTTTGTATGGTAATCGCAAATTTTTTCCTTTGTCAGATTGCATCAACATCTTGATACAGATATTTAATTACAAAAAGTGGAGTAGTCATAACGATAGTTTTTACTATAAGCTTTAGACGAATCGAGTTGACTTGGAAATTCTCATTTACTTTTTCACACTTTTAATAATTACTTACTAATACATAATTACTTACTTCTTAGTGTGTCCATACATTTATAGTTATAATTTGCCAAATCTTTGGAAACAAGCACGCGAAGAGATTTTAATAGAAAAGCAATGACTCTATAATTAATATAAATTTCGATATTTATAAAGGATGTGTAAATAATATAACATAACATTAATTGTTAAACTTAATGAATATATTATTACACAGTATATCATACGTTATACATAATACATATAAAATTATATTATTGTATTATTATATATACGCATATATATGTATGTATGTACATATCGTTGGGGTCAACGTGTATGGCGATCGATATAATCGAGCGTAATCGCAATAGACGAAATGCTTGCTGAAACGCAGATGTTGAAAGAAAAATGTGTTTTGAAAATCGCTAGAGATCTAAAGGCGAGCTGTGGAAAAATTTATTTTTTAGACGTTTCGCGGTGTCGACAATAATATCTTGTAATCTCATGCACTTGTTATGAAAACGCAACAAACTTAATAGTGTTTCTATGCAATTTGTTATATAAACGTTTTTTAAGGATTCCGGTTAACTCTTCGTTTATCTTTATGTAAGACAATAATTAAAAGATATGCTAAGACAATAAAAATGATTTTTCTACGAAATTTTAAAAGTAAAGACCAATAATTATATTAAATAACAATGAAGGTATTTACCAATAATTTTTTACATGATTTATCAAGCCATATTTTATTAGAATCTTTAAAGCAATTATACTATAATAAAATAAATTTAGTAACATTTCTTGCCTGCTAAATAAAATTATATTGACAATAATTATATTATATAACAATGCAAGTATTCGCCTATAATTTACGAAATAATTTATTCGGCTATATTCTATTAGAATCGTTAAGAGAATTACATTACGATAAAATAAATTTAGTAAATTCGTAATAAAATTTCCTGTCTGCTAAATAAAATTATATCGACAATAATTATATTATACAGCAAAGAAAGTATATTTGTCTATAATTTTCCAAATAATTTAGTAAATCGTATTTAATTACAATCGTTCAAAAAAATACCACGAAGATAGAATGAAGTTAGCAATATTTGCTGTCCTCTAAACAAAATTACATCAACAATACTTACTGATATATTTTATTAAATCATCAATTACTTACAGATTTTGACGTTACGGCTTACGCAAAACGAAGGGTTAACGATCGTTGCATAAACTTCTTTCATCGATTCGCGTTTTACCATACAGATATACATGCTTTCGATTGATTTACCCAATGGTAGATGAACATCTTTCGAAACGCTAACTTACGAAAATTTCTTGTACGGGGCGGCTCTTTAGGGCCGTCATTGAAGCTTCCTCAAGCGATTTCGTATGTACGTTATGTTAGAACCGATGCGCTGCTGTAATAGTTTCTGCTGGGCGTAATGTTAGCGACAGTAACGACAGATAATAGCAGAGTCACGATTTACTTGTTCGGGAATAATCAGTATAATTGCAAAAATGATGCAGATAATAATGGGAAACGTATTTTTGAGTTGACGTTTCCGCGGTATCGTCTTCGGTCCGTGGTTTTTCCATTCGGTGAAAAGCCGGAAATTGAAACAACACGCGTTCCAACGAATTGCTGTTGCACGCGATGTTCGTGATTCGCCAATATGTTTGTCACTGGAACGTTGCGCCGAGCGGAACGATCCGTTGTTACGTTAACAGAAGAAAGTCGCGCGTCCGGTTAGCATGGAAAAGGATGAAAGTATCGTTTTCCGCTTAACATTTTCGCAGCAAACAAGCTTGTTAGTTTGGTTTATGAATAATATCTGCTTATATGCATAGATATATGGTAGGGTGGAGTCAAAGTTATCTCTTCTCTAAGAAATCAAAACGGCCAAATGACTATTTTTTGAACCAATATTTAACTATTAAGAGCACTTGGAACAGAGATTGTAAATAAAACGACAGCACGTATATATATTGAGAAATGATGTAATTTATTTTATAAAATGACATGGAACTTTATATAAAAATCGGAGAATGTTGAAATAGCGGGCTATTGAAATGTCGAAATGGCGAATAGCGAATGGATTACGCTATTGTGATAATACATGTGCGATGGAGACTATGCGGAAAACAGAAGTAATAGAGGATATGAAAGACCAAGATAGTCGCAACTGAAATAACGAGACTGTTAAAATATAGAGAAATTGGAACAATGAAATTTAATATACGTAGTTTATTGAAACTACGAATTACGGAAATATGAAGATTCCGGAAACAATGTAATCGCAAAAATAAAGAAACAATTAAAGGAAATAATTATTAAAAGATATCCAAACTGAGCTGAAAGAAAGATACGAACAAAAATTTTGTTCGAATAATTATATATTATATAAACGTATATAATCATTGTGACTCTGCTCTGCCAGCAATGGCCTAGTCATATACATATAATCATCGTTTTATTTGAAAAAATCGTGGCTCGCATAATTCAGTGCTGCATCAGATATTGTATACGCTATTGTATCGAAGTAGTAACAGGCCTAACTTTTATCCATGTTATTCAATTGTCAGAATCAAAAGGTGGGGTTGAACTCGAAATATACATTAACTATAATCACTACGACGATACGTAGGATAAGTTCTAATGCTGTTCGAACAATAATACTGATATATTTATATGAATATATAGCTCCGATAATAATTTTACGACAATAAAGAGAAAAGAAAAATACGGGGTGGGCCGATCGTAGCGTACTAATGCATCGAATATGAAAGGAACCAATCGTCTCTGGATCAAATTACATTGTTAAAAGTCGAATCCCATCGGATAGAATTGCTGCACTATTTATGAAATATTATGACGGTAAAACCTTTGAATATCGCGCACGCTTTTCTCGGTGCACCCTGTATCGTTTTAAATAACAATTAGCTTTACATGTATGTGTAATCGAGAGTACCGTCTATGCGATATTAAACGAATAAGAGAAAATCGAATGTTTCACTTATCCGTGAAAACGATTATATTACGATTGACAGACAAATATGCTAAAGGTTTTCAATCAGCGAATATTCATAAATATCAGACAGACGAATGATGCATTGTCAGAGTTATATAGCTACTACGATACATTATGCAAGGATATTTGTTATCAGTGATAGATATAACGCTGTTAAGTTCAATATACATAAGTTTTTATAACATTCTTATATAGTGTTCTTTGAACACTGCTGCTGAATAACGCTAACGCATTTTTGAGTTTCTGCTGTTTGACAGGATGATTTATGAAGAGACATAAAACAGTAAGCTGCACAGTTATTATTATTTAAAATACAGATCTTTCTGATGAAAGGAAAATGTAAGGGGCGGGTAGCCATGTCTTAATAACAGCGAATGTATTAAATGATTTCGCAATGAAAGATCTTTTCATCAACATTGATGTAATTGTTAATTTTTGCACTATATTTATAGCTTCTTCAAGTGATTTTTAATACATTCGTAAATGCTTTTGGTCAGTATGTTGTAAGTTAGTATAACTGACTGTTTTATTATTCACGTTACTTATACCGTTATATTTTGCAATAATTTTAACAAATACTTAAATGTTTTCTTAACCTTTTACATTAGATCGGTTTGTAGCAATGTTGATGACGTGTAAATCGTTATTTGGTTGTCTTTTCACCGATAAAATACGGAGAAGGGAAACTATATAAATAATATCGTAGATGTTAGTAATATTTTTCTTTTCGAAATAAAACTTTTGATCTCGAAAGCTGCACTGGAAAAGAGTATTGGAATCGCTGATTAATCCAGGAAAATTTACAATTGTTTTATATGTTATCAATAGAGAATTGATTACAAGTTGCAAATTATAATTTTCACGAGAGTGAAATGACAAAAATATGTTAGGAATATATCATGAAACCGCTGGTATCACGTAGTAACATATATCATCATGTTCATTAGAAGCATTTAACATTTACTTTGTCACTCACGACGATAGAGGAATTATAAAAATAAATGATAAATTGCTGTCAAAAATTACATGTCTGTCCTCAAATGTCATAAGAATATTCATGCAAAAGTTATTCAATGTCGAGGTATTGCAGATGTAATTTTTAATCTATTGCTTCGATAGATAACTATTTTCTCTGAAAACGGTTTAAAAAAACGTGTGTAAGAGATTGAGTATGGGTGTCCGACGAGTTTGCTACGCTATTGTTTCCGGGCGCAATTGTATATGGCGTGAAGTTTAGAAAATGCTTGAAATGTACATTACCTATTCATAAACATGAAAGTATTACCTTGTGGTCTTAACGAAAAGTAAATTAAATTGTAACGTATAGTATTGAAAGAACCATATGAAATTATATGAATATAACAAAAAAATATATAAATTAAATAAATATATATATACATACATATATACAAATATACATTACATGTATATACCATGTGTAACGTGTTACATGTTCTGTACACATATAATACGTGTCGTTATATGTACATTTTTTAGGTACATAATTCAGATAGTGTCGAGCTACATCGTTCTATCGATCTTGTTTTGCGAGAAAGAGAAATTTCACTTATTAAATGTCGACAATAAATGGAGGAAGCTCGCAAATATAGTAAAGCATATATTGTAAGGGCAATAAAGTAGGTATGCTTTAAAAATATGTATGTCGATACTGTGCGAGATTTTGACGTGATATCCTCGTGCTTTTGACTTATTCGAGTAAAAGAGAGGCTCTGAAAATATTGCTATATTATTAATATTTATTAATTCACGCTGTACGTTGAGAATATTAGCGTTGAAAGTTTCTAATGTTTTAAGGTATGAAAATGTTTTAGACTTAAAACGGGTGAAAGATAAAATTTGTTAAATTAAAGTCTTCTTTCTTAAATTTTTGTTAAATATAGTTTGTATTAATATAGTCAGAATTATTATATTATTTAGAATGTCAGAATTGTGTATTATAATTGTTACATGTATTACCAAGAAGATTATTGTTTCCAGCGAGCACGAGCGTTTCACGAAGAAATACTTGAGTTTCAATCGTACTAAGCTTCTTGTGGCTTTACGTATGAATGTAGGTTTACTAATAATTCCTTGTTATTATGTTTTATGTCTGTAAAATGTCTAAATTAAATCCTTTCTGTGTGTATGTGATCTGCCGAGAAAATTGTTTTATGTTACGTGAAATAATTTATCGCTCTATAAATTATATAGAATAGAAGCGTATGTATCGTATTATCCAAATGATGGCAAATGAAAGCAATTGTTTGTGTTCTCTAGTCAAAATAATGCTTGGAAAAAATGAGCTTGTTCTACCTATTGTTAGAATATTCTTTGTATTCATTTCGAGTCCACATACATTTCTGTCATAATCATCGATACTGTTAAACTAAACCTTGAAAGTAAAATTATTACGAAGGATATCTTCTCGTTTATAAATGTTGTGAATTAAAATTTAATGTACTTGGTAAAAAATTCATTATAAATTTAGTTAGTGTTTTGAAGTCTATTTAGAAGTAATTATATTATCAAATTGTTAATTATATAAATTCTGTCTATTATTACGTTAAGAATTTTAAATTATCATTAGACTGCGGATTTTTATGTATTTATGGGAAATTTAAAGATAGTGAAATGCATAGAATGTACATAATATGCAAAGATATATAAAATCTTCAAGGTACGAAATTCATTATAATATTTAGCGGATAAAACTGACCTCCGTCTAGGTTCCATTTTTTAAAATTATATTCATAAAGATGTGAATTTGCATAAACATCCCCAGTCTAATAATCATTATCGTCTTAAACATGAAAAATAATATTCTTAAATAAAAAGTCGAAAGTAACTTTTTCAACTCGTTTGAGTTAACTGGAAATACTTTTTTGAAAACGAACTAATCCTTTAAGTAACGAAATATTTTATGCAACAAAGTATGATTAACCAGTTTGTTTGTTAAGAAGTATAAAATATTTAGCGAGTCATTAATGAAAAATTTCAGCAATGGTTCAATTATCCATCTGAATGTTAGTTCAAACATTTCTAATTCTCGCGGACCCGTAACCGGTGTGGGTGCGTGTGTGCGTCCCTAGTTTCCCCTGTATATGCGCGTGCGTGTGTACATATATATACTTATATATACGTATATATACATTATACATTATTATTATTATATAAATTTCGATCGATCCTAGTGTATCGAACTGACAATATTAAAATTGATCGGACTTATGGTTTAACCGACAATAACATATTTGTTAAGGGCATTCGAGAAGTAGTGTTACGCGTGAGTCAAAAGAATTTGCTCTTCCGTGCTGTGCATCAAAGTACACGAGATCTTAGTGTTAACGATCTATTCACATGCTCGATCACACGATTCACGTTCCCGTGCTCCAGTGTATCTCCGATTAACGCATTATCAACGAGAGGTATTATGTTCATCATCGATCCAGGTCTCTTAAACAGTGACGATAAGACTGATTTAAGACGTGACATTAAAATCAGTGAATTTCACTGTGAAATTTCGCATACCTGCTTGATCTTTCTTTGTAGATTACATCGTTAAAGCTGAGCGGTTGAAAGAAGTTGGTAGAAGAAGTTTCACGAGCTCGAATTTCTTGAACTATTATTATTTACAATTTTACAATTGTAAGTAGACAGAGTATGTGAGACATTTGAAATGCTTATGGGTTCCATTAAAATTTTGTTATCACGATCTATCGTTAATCGTGAACTTTCCATTGTTACCTATTTGGCAATGTTTGAAATAGAATTATTCAAATAAAGCAATATCTGTAGTAATATGCATTATAGAAGTAGATTGGTACGTTGTAACGATCATTTTTTACAAAACTCTTCTCAAATCTTCTGAAACGTTGTCACTATGCGTCGAACAGGATTTTATGCGAACTTCGAATTGATAACGCGACAAATTGTTCGTTGATAATGCGTTAGAACGTCGTCACCTGATATCAGTTTGAATATCTTAAAGTTGGAAGATACGTAGACATCGATTTGTCGCGTGTATTATTGTCACGGCTGAAGAGTTGAAGGCCATTATTCGCGATCATGGCATGCCCTGGTATTTAACTATAATCGCGATTTTCCCTGTGAAACGTTCTCTCTTCTGTGTCCATTGACGTTAAATCTCTCAGAGGTAATCACTAATTCGCACTCTCTTATAGCGGTTTCATAATTAACACAGATGACATGAAACGATAATCATAATAACCCCGTGGTGGGCAATTTAAAGAAAATCTATTTTGACTGTTCAAATAAACGAAATAGCGGGCCTGTTCTATTATAATACACGTAGCTGCAAGTTAGGACGAGAACAAAAAGCAAACAAAAATGAGTCATTGTTACACACGCCGGTAAGTCTGGTTTGTTAATAATTATTACAACAATAATTATGTAAAATATGTATGTATACTGTAATTTTGAGTGTATTATGTAATTAAAAAAAAGATAAGAAATACTGATTATTGACAATAAATTGTAAGCCGATGTTTTCAAATACTCATAATTTTCTTTCAGACGGCTAAAAGTGACAAAGCCAACATTTTGACATTTGCGTAGTATTTTCTAAAGAAATCATTAATTATCAGAAGTGTCTAGTTTTATTTTATGAAAATCAAATACATATGATTATTATTTTGTCACATACGAATATACATGTAGTTTTATTTTACAATTATATTTATTTGATAAAATTCCTAGTCCAAAAGCTAGTGATATAAATACACACGCCTTTGAGCACAAGAAACAACCTCATTTGAAGTGAAAGTTCAGTGTTAGACAAACATGATTCACCTGGTATGTTTAACTGCTACTTGCCGAATCGGAAATAAACAGGTATCTTCTGGCTGGATTTTGTTGGTACCATAAGGTAAGTCAATTAGTATTAATAAACAAGCTTAGCACGACTGCTTCTACTCAACCACCATCTATAAACCATTCACAAAATGGTAAATTAAGATTGTTTACTTACGTCATCGTGCACATGAATTGTGTTGGTGTCATAAAGTACGGAACGATTAACTTTATCCAAAAGGCTGGATGTGACTCCCCTAACTCTGCTACCATTCCCTGACCACTTCTGGTCATTCACAAAACAGTTAATTATTAATTTAATTAATTGCATTACTATAATTGAATTATAATTAAATTATTAAGTTATAATTAATTAATAGGAACACAAGACTGTACCAGGGCTCAAAGATTTTGAGACGGAATTTCTTGGGAATCAGTGGGAATTTTTGGCCCAAAATTGAGGATTTATACTAAGCGAGTATACTGCGCAAGGGGATGGCACGCGAAATCTGTCCGCGAATAATGGCTTAATTGCACGCGAATGAACGAACTCACTGCAATTGGCCGTGGTATGTATATGCTTTACCGGAAATACGAGGCTCGCGACGAACATCCGCCGAAGATACAACACCCTGGGCGGTACTAAATCTATCGAAGCATCAATATTCTACCTAACAACGTGCACATTTCGCGATGCATCGTGCATACGTGCACTGGCGTGCGTAAAATCGCAGAGAGAAGCTATTGAACGCGTGAAGCAGCTGGCGACTTTCTAAAGTCCCCCCCGGGGATCCTCTGTATCCCTACGGTGACTTTGCATGTTGCAATCGGCCGAGAGAAGCGGCGGGAAGCACTTTTACTGATTTTTCACCACCGCGTGTCTGAATGTTATATCACAAACCACGCGAGCGCGGGAGATGGCGGTCAGTGTCTTGAGATATCTCATGTTCGTCCTCTTTGCTGCGTTGCAGTATCGTAAGTAGTTTGTCGATGCTCGATTATCGACTGCCGGTCCCTTTTTCACGCTCAAAATCCAAATCAAGAATCGAAGCAAACGCGGTTTCGCGCAAACCACGAGAAAATATAACAGTTGATTCAACTTGATCTTGGAACTTTGGAAGTTGCGAGTTGGAAATTGTCGCGTTGGTGTTCGAATGGTGTTGGAGGGACGACTTGTGACTCGTCCGTCGTCTGAGAGAAACTATATCCTGCTTTGATATTTAGTGCGTGATTTCTAAAGTGTACTCGAGTAAAATTTGGTGGCATTAAGGAAATGGGGTCTGATGTTGGCAGTGTTTTGGCGTGGTAATGGGCTTGTAGAGGTAGATTCCGAATAGGACAGAGTAATTTTATGAAATAATTGGAAATTAAGAAAATATGTATGTTGCCAGTCACAGGTACTAGGATATCTATTTGTTACGTCTCTTGAAGAATTGTAGCAAATTCAGTGTTTTTTCATTTTCATTTAGTGTTTTACATTTTATGACATAGGTGTACGATGTGATTTATAATAAAATAATTAGAGAAGCTATGAACCGCATTCGATTCGTATTATATATCAGTATAAGGCAGTGCATATTGATGAATAATTAATTGATTTAATATTACGATTGTTAGACGACTTCTGACAGAAACAATTTTTGACGAAAATATTTGTTGCCCAGAAAAATATCTTATTACATGTTTCATTGTAAAAAGTTCAAAGAAATATGACGTTTAAACGTAATGTGAATAATTAACAATATAGTTACTTATTAATATAGTACATTCTAAATTTCCACGTTAAAATGTTAAGTAAGAAGTGAAACTGTTTGTATGATGAAATTTGTGAATAATTAACAAACCAAAGATAAATGACTAAAAAATGAAGAATCAAGTAATTCATACCAAATCTCCTCGTAAATTAAATCATCTTCCAAACAGAAATATTAAACATAGTGCCTACAAATTGATTGCTTTTGATTTTGTCAAGAATCGTCAATAATCACTAAAGCTATCGCTATAAAAAATTTTGCAATACTCGATTATTTAAATGCTAACGAATAGATCAGAAATTAAAGGTCGTTTTTTTACAACCTTAGAGAGAATCATGTCAATGCTATTTTACTCGTTATCGTTAATTGGATGCTTATCTACATTCTCATACTATTGCCGCAAGAATACATTTAACGAAAGAAGAGCAACAAAAAATTAATAAAAGCGATACAGCGAAACAATCGACCTTTACCTGTTTCTTTGGTTTCTTAGAACGGTCGAATGGTTTTTTATACAAAAGCTATATTTATAAATGATTGATCTTGGACAATCGGCAGTTAACCAGCCGTAAAAAAATGATTTATGTGAAATCGGGATCGAGGAAATTAAATAGGTATAATCGGTATGCAGATCGGTAATATACGTCGATTTCGTTCTTAGATTATGTGAGTGCGGAGACAAAAACGTTCAAGGATCTGTTTAACAGTACATCCTGTGCGAAACCACCCTTTGAATGCCCACATCCACAGATCGAATTTTATTTGTATACAAGGTAAGGTTGTTTTAAATTAATTTAATTAAATTATGTAAACGAAAATAACGATAAATTATTTTACTCTAACTTATATATATATAATATTAATAAATTATGTAAATTGAGTTATATATACACATTACATATACATTATATATACACATCAATTATGTACATTATTTGAATTTCCTTTTGTGTAGTATATTTTATTGTTCATCATATTTTATACATTTTTCGATTTAATAATGAGAAGTTCTGCGAACATTCAGTTTCTTGTGAATTTGTCAAGCTTACTAAATAATTATAAGGGAAACATAAAAAGGTATACCTTATAAAAAGTACTTCAAGATGATTATGTGAAAAACTGTAAAGGAAGAATAGTTGTCTTAAATGAAATAAATAGAAATGTGTTAAATAAATTATTTCCTATTTGAAGCGTTATTATAAGTTTTATTATAATAAACGACTTAAATATGTTTTTATTTAGCAAATGTTTTCTTACATAAACTAATATCATACTTTACTTTAAAATCCCTACAATTAGCGATATAAGAAATGTTACTCCTTTTAATTCGTTAAAATAAATCATTCGTCAAACTGTCGTAATTCCTTAACATTAACTAAATGATAATAACAATGATGGATAACACGAGTGAAACCATTCAATTTCAGCTATTTAACGATTGAAACCATAATCTAAAACCATACTCTAAAACCATACTCTAAAACTATACTCTAAAACTGTAATACCTAAAATCGTACAGAATTTACTTCTCGAAAGTCAATGTACCAAACGATCTGTTGAAATTATTTGTTAAAAATAACGCTTCTCTGTAACATCCTGTATAACTATCGTCATACCATATTATTTGTCTTGGCTATACGAATAATAAGCCGAGCGCTTCAGGAAACTCTAGATGAAGAAATTGTAACTTTCTATTATCACCGGTTTTATTTTGTATCGCGTTTTCCGCTACCGTCTCGGAATTCGATCTCGTTTCAACGAGATGACGAAAAAATTACGCTTTGCGACACTAGCCGTTCTAACTTTCGGTGAAATTTCCCATTTACTTTTGCGTCAGCTGAACGCTTCGCGGTTCCTCAACTTACTTTCGTTCGACGTTCGAGAATGTTCACCTCGAACCTGAATGTTGGCCGTAAGGAAGAACGTGGACATTCGACTCTCGATTTCAAGATCACGATCAGTCCGTCTCGCGCTGAAAGTGTGGCCTCGTTTCAAAGTTCACCTTTCTCCGGTAACTAACAGTGTCTTGGCACGTTCTAAGTGCTTTTACTCATTCACATTTTCCTCTTTTGTCGCGTCGATTAAATCGTTCTTTTCTGTACCACGCTATCTTGTTTAAAAGCGAAAATCGAATACTTATGTCGATTCGTTACGGCGTATATTTTAAAAATTAAGATTATTCACTTTCCTTCGTATTGGTTTCTAAGCGACGTATCAGATTTGCTTCGTTTCTAGAAACGATATTTATTACGAATTTGAGAGATTATAGTATCAGATTGTACATTTTTCTACATTTATGAGAAATTTGAAGATGCAAACATAGACGGAATGAACATAAAATGATAATATATAGGAAATATCTAAAGTATACTACTCGTTGTAATACTTAGGCATTTTCTTCGTTGTGTTTAGAAGAATATGAGTGCATAAATGTCCGTAATGTATTATAATTATCATGAAGGGATAACTAACGCGTTCATGAAGACGTGTCTAGTAATATACGAATATTATTAAAGTCAAAGGAATAGGATTCGATAAAAGAAATATCGTAACGCGAGTGAAACTCCATTCGAGATTATAAGGTCGTTGACATTCGCTTCGTAGATTCATATACAATGTAACATACGACTATCTAATATTTATTTAATACTTGATATTTGATGAAACTTAACAAGTAGTTATTTAAAAAAAGTATCTATATTTAGTATATGTATAATTACTAAGAATATTGCAATAATAAATATATTATAATTATGTTAAAGTCTAAGATATTATACTGTATTATATTTAGCGTTGATATATCACTTTACTTTAGAAACTGACTTTTCTCTTGTTTTATTCATTGCGCACGCATTTCTTTACTTTCTTAGGAAGATCGTTGAATAGGTGAATGTAACTTTCTTGGGACTGCCATTTTTCAGAGAAACACAAAAGAAGCCTCTACGCATTAACGTGCGAAGGTTCGAGTCACTTCAGTACTCCAAATTCAATAAGTCACATCCCACGAAAATCATTATCCACGGTTTTGGTGGAGGGAGGAATTTAATACCCAGCCCGGATCTTCGAAGAGGTAACGTTTGAAGAATATTATAACTTACTTCAATTTATTATATCGTGTCATTCTTAACATAGTTCAATTTTACTAAATCTGTCTTTTAGAGAAATTTAAGAATCGTGCGACCATGTTTTGATAGTAATGCAATTACATTTTTATTGTTTAAAAATTTTATACAATTTCCTTACATTTTAGAATAATAACGTAATAAACGATTTATTGAATACGTATTTCACATGAAAGTGACCAATTTCGGTGATGAGAGTTTCTGCGAGAGAGTGTGAAAGTTTTTATCGCATTTCTCGTCTATTCGAAAAGTTGTAAAATTTTACTTGCTACGAGAAAAATAGCGACTCACGTCATATGTCAGTAACTTTCATACTCTGATCGATCCACTATTTAAAACATCGTAAATGTTGCAATTGGTTTTGTCTAACTCTTCTGTGATGATAAAAAAAGAAATTTGATGGAAAATTACCTTTGTTATGAAGCATTGTTCGATTCATTCGATATTGTAAAAGTAATAATTTATGTTTGATAATAACACAATCATAAACGAGAACAAAAAGTACGGAAAATTTCAGTGATCTTTATAATCGAATCCAGAAAAATTATAAGCTATATCGCTTCGAATAGACGTATATGTATATCTATATAACATAAAAAAATAACATTTATACGATAATGGAAAATAAAAATTTTTCAGTAACTGTATATCGTTTCAAAGAAATAAAAACCAATCGCCTGTTAGCTCGCAGTTTTTGGTCGATGAAGATTAAAAGATTCGAACAAGTAGCGTGGGCTACGCAGTGCGCGATGGTCTCGATGTATGAAACTTTCGATTTCAGCGTATTTCACGCGAGGCGATTACAATATTATAATCGTCGATTACGGTTCGTTGGTGCGCGAGCCTTGCCTGTCGCAAATACAATGGGGTCCAGATTTCTGTTCACGATGTATTGCTCAATTGGTAAGGTACTTGAGGGATCATCCTCGTGGAACGAGGGTGGAGAATATACACGTGCTCGGATACAGCGTGGGTGCGCATATAGCTGGTCTGATTGCGAATTATTTGCCCGATGACAAGCTTGGAAGGATTACAGGTAATGTGTGTAATTTTATTATTTAATCGCATCTCTTGCGATTTCGCTCTCATTAACGATCAGATTAACGAAATTCTGTTAGAACCTTAATACAATAACGTATGCTAAGGTAAACTCTAATAATAAGACAAATTTGGTCCTGTACATATCGTAGATTTTTATTTGCCATAGCACCAGTTTGTTCTAGTATAAATTATATATTGAAAGATATATATTTTTTGAGATGATTCAATCCAGGCATAGAGTTTGGCGTTGAACCTACCACTCGATTTAAATAGGAAAAATTGAATGTAACGTGAAAGATACAAGTGAATTTATTTCATCTTTTCATACTGTATCCATATCTAAATTAATTAGCTTTTCCATTGTGCTTTGCTAAGTCAGAACTAAAATTATGTAAAAAGGTAATCAAGATAAATTTAATTTAATTTTTAACAAATGAATCTTAAACGATATAAATACACGGATACAGTATGTAATTTCTAATTTAATTTAATTTATATGTACTCACACGAATCTTCTTCATTGTCTAGATATTTAAAATCACAGCTTATGAATATCCTGCTGTCTTTTTTCACATCCCCTTGTTTTTTAAACACCCTCTACATCCATGGATATCCCACAAACTAATCTTATTCTGGATTAATCGACATTTTTTCTCTCTCCTTAAGTAGCTAAATTATTTACGACGACCTTCCAAAAACAGTATGGTAGGTTGGCCTACCACGAAAATGAAAAATCGCTCTCTAACGCGAATGAATTTCCACGTTGGTTCTTTTTTCTCGATTAGGACTCGATCCAACGATATTTTTCTACATGAATGGGAACCGATCGATGGATTTAGACGAAACGGACGCGCATTTCGTCGATGTGATCCACACTGGTGCCGGGATTTTGGGTCAATGGGGACCGACCGGGCACGCAGATTTCTATGTGAACGGAGGTTCCAGCCAGCCCGGATGCGCGACAACTTCCTTGCTCCGTAAGTAATATGACCCATTTTCACTTATCTCAACAGGCAAGAGAGATTCAGACCTTTTGAGAATTGCGTGTATTGTGTTAGCTGTTGGCTGTTATTTGTTAAATAGCAAAGTGATCGGTTGCGTGTTGTTTATGAAGCATTCAAAGAGGCATTAAAGAAAGTAAATTGAGGAGAAACGATCGTGTTGGCGTTAAACCAGAAACGAATGACAGCTTCGCCCAGTTTCAGTTCTCTCGAAAGTATATAATTTGACTTTTTATAAAACGAGTTGTTATTACGAACTTTCTTAATGGAAGGAATTTTGTTGAACGTTGTGACAACTGTGGAAGATATTAGAAATTAAAAGAATATTAAGATTTTGTTTCTTTAGTCTAAGTTTAGTCAGGAATTAAATTGAATTGTCCAAGTTGCTCCATTTATCCGTATTAGATATTTTTGTGTAAAAGGAACAATAATTCTCTCTCCAACGTTCGCTGATGGTTAGAAGAAAGCGTGTTAGTTAAATAGGAATTGTGGAAATTGAAGTTTTGACAAACAGTGAATTTCGAAGTATTCTTTTTAAAGGCACGAACCTTTTAGAATATAGAAATACGTATAATTAAAAGGATCTATATCTTGTACATTTTATAATTTAAAGCTTTATTTATTAAGAAGTTCGATGAAACCGTAAGTGTGGTAATTCATTTCTCTTATCGTCAATTTATAATCTTTTCTTTGTCTCGAAATTTTAATTTTAAATTGAGTTTCATTAAATGCTATGGATTGGAATACGGAATGGAGAAGGAGATTATTATCCTTTGAACTCGTGAAAATACGTAATTATGACTCCCCATAGAGTGATCTTATCATTAGAGAAAACGTTCTACGGGACGGATGGTCGACTGTGAATGAAATCAGTGAAATGTTTCGTCCGCAGAGACGTTGTCGTGCGACCACACAAAAGTGACGCCTTATTACATAGAATCAATCACGACGAAAGTAGGATTCTGGGCAGCGCCATGTGGAAATCTCTTTTCCTACCTGATCGGCTGGTGCAATCCGAAACTCGAAGAGCACATACTCATGGGAGAAGACGCCCCACATACGTAAGTATTTTTAATTCTTCCAACTTACTAAATGAAGCAACTAAAACAAAAATGATTAATCTTCAAAGAGTTATAGAAGTTGTACCCGCTTTTAACTGCGCTTTTGCAAAATTGCCAATAGCTTATTAATAATACGATAATAATAGTAATTCGTAACATGTAAAATTGGAAAAACTGTTTGCACAACAGAAGATTACAGCCCGCAATTTATACAAAATTATTGAATAAATGGCCATAGGCTTTTAAAATATTTTTGAACCATGTACGATAAATATAAATATTCAAGAAAGAATAGAATAATTCCAAGAAAGATTAAAGAAAGAGTAAAATACTGAAAAAAAGAACGTTAATTTGAAATGTTACAGAGCACGAGGCATCTACTATCTGTCAACAAACGCACACAAACCATACGCCCGAGGCCTTCCCGTAAAAAGCCAACGAACGACAAATCGGAAACGATCGTCCTCCCGCCAGTACTAAGCTTACTGAAGCAGTTAATCAACATAATTATAGAATAATTATAGTATACGCGGTTATTAGTTGTATGTACTGTATGCTGTGTTATGTTTGCCTCTGTTGTTTCTTTGTATATTTTTTAATTAGTTTTTACGCAATAAACTATTTTGCTACGTAACCTACCATCAACCGCCGCATACCATTGCTAGTTTGCCGATTAATGTATTTATTCCACTGGATTCTATTGTTATGGTGTTCCAAGAATTATCGCTTTTTCCGATTCTGTCAATTTTATGGAATCGTCCGGCGTTTAGTGATCGTACGATTCTCGGTTTTCGTTATTATAATATATGTAAATCTATTCTTTACCGTCACGGCTCATCGTTTTTCTATCTGTGATGAATATGAATGTAAATTATAATTAAAAACAAACAAATTATTATATTAGCGAAATAGACGAATTGAGAACCAGGCTATCCTTTCGAATGATTTTGGTGTCTAATCAGGATAAAATAAATCTTAAACTTAAAACGGAAGGAAAAGATAGTCTTGAGATGAGTTATTGAAAACAAAAATTGCTATATCTTCCTAACACATAGGCGTACGATTTTGTAAGTATCGTGGTTCCTACGCGAAACCTATGAAAATACGTGTAGTATATCGAAATGATGTTCGGGAAAAAGAGAACGATCGATCATTACGAATTTTATGTTAACAACAATATTTATTACATAATAATTACGATATATATATATTTATATATATATATAATAATAATAATAACGTCTATGGATTTACAGTACACTGTCGCGCTAAACCTTAGTTATGTATAATATGCAATGGAATGATTACAAGTTGTTAATACATCCACGTTTCAAGCTTTCGAGGCATTCAGGCATTCAGTTTGTTTTTTTCAGATTGGCTCGAATGCGGTGTAAAGGGAACCGTGTCCCTTCGTCTGCTTCACATTTCGCTCTTCCTCGCTCTCTTTCTCTCCCGCTCTCTTTCTCTCTCTCTCTCTCACTCTCGTTCTCTCGGCGGGACCGATGCTCGGGTTTGATCGAGAGTAAAAGATCGATCACGATCTATTGTCGATATTTAATTCGTTCTCACGGGCATCGTCCCAAAACGTAGGACTTTAAATTTCGTGTATATATATATATTTTTTTTTTTATATATAGATCTTTATCCGTATAGATCATAGAGTTAAGAATAAATTCTCTACACCTCTTACAGTGGACAACGTAGGATCTACGATAAAAAATGGACAGTTTCGGTTGTTCGATGGGTATATGACAAAACAGAAATCAATTTCTAGCGCGGAGTCTTTTTCTTCCGGGAGCCAGAACGATGCTTCAACAACTTCAACGAGCTGTGCGTTTCACATTTTCTTAATATTTTTGTTGCTTTCTATCCTCTTATTTTATTTTTTATATTTATTATTTATTTATTTATTTTTTTTGGTTTCTTGCGTTAGTACTAGTAGCTATCTTTAGCGTTAGTGTGTTTGGTATCAGTATGTTCGTTTTATCGTTGTCGATTGCTTTGGTACGTTCCATTATTGTTTTCATTGAAGTTACTTCTTGTTTAGTTTATTTTCATTTGGACCCTTTCGCGACGGTAACGTCTATGTAAGAATTTTTGTCATCCATTTCGGGTTCCGTGTAAATTGTCAAGGAGTAATTCATACGCGTTATAAATACAATTTTATTGTATAGCATGATTCATTTACAAGGCGCGAAGCAATTCAACCGAGATTCGAAGTTCAAGTCTTTGGAAATCGATCATTTTTGCGCCGTTTGTACACTCTTTATGTCCTTCTCTCCTTGTTTCGGGATATCTCTTTCGCTCGAATGTGAATATTATGTTACACGAGAAACTTCGAATCCTGCGATAACACATAGTTTAATGAATTATTCTTCGTTGACGTCGATTGATATTGTTGAATGGAAAACATTACGACTATATGGAAAGTAATTTTTTGTTACTACCACTAAAATGTAATTCTCTATCTACTGACTATATTTCTGAAAACCGTCCCAAAAGGGTTTAAGGAAACTCATATCGTTGTTACTAAAGAAATCTACTTTTTTTTTGTTCTTTTTCTTTTTTATGTTTTTGTTTTTTTGGTTTTAGTGACGAATCACGGTGAAGGGAAAAGTTTGAAAACTGAGCAATTCATGCATTATCCAAAGAGGAATTTAAGAACATCTAAGGAGTCTTCTTTCAATTCTACGTGTTAATTATATTCTGCTGTGGCATCGTTCTACTCGCGAAGAAATAAATATAAAAGACGAAAGTAAAAGGTAAATCAGTATTTTACTATCAGACTAAATTAAGGCTTTACAAAGATTCATTGTATTTTTTTGTTTCTTCTCTCTCTTTATTTACATCATTGTTTCTTTCGTGCGCTACGTGCCATTTGGACCGACGTACACATCTATTTACGTCTCTTGGACAATCCTTATACTGCTAACATGACAATCGGTACGTTTGTTGATCGGACCCGCCATTGCGCGCGAATTTCGAAGGATTTGAAGAGAACATCGCCTTATATTCTTAAAACTGCTCGGAAATGACCATGCTCGAAAGACTGGCGCGGTTTGTATCGTTTAAGAACTTTCGATTGATCGTCTTTTATGAATAATACGAAGAAAATGAGCGATCTTCGATTATACATGATTTCGATAAATCGCGAGTGCTACACTGATGATAGTTGATGGTTGCTAGTATGTCTTTATCCTTGAGATAAAACTTATCATCGCGATACAGGTACTTAAGAGCTAGAAGAAATGTGAAAGAAAAAAATACAGACGAGTAGATCTATTTGTAACAAATAGCGTATAAAGATCGAAGGTAGAAATAAAATATTTGAGAAATAATTAGTAGGGAACTCAACGATTACTTGGAACTTTTAAATGTACCGTTTTATGATTACTACGTAATGTAGTTATACATTTGGTAAAAAAGCACAGGCATCGAGGTCTTAGGCACATGTATTGTTTGCTCGCGTATCACTGTAGATCCATTTCCGCCAAATGCTTTCGAGCGTGCTCCAATCGCTAAGCACAGTGTTGAATTTTCTAAAATTATATATATTCTTCAGAAAAAAAGGTTCTTTCACGATGTAATCAATATAAATTGATGAATCTTTTTAGACTAAAGTACCATTATCATATTTCTAGCCACTTTTTGTCTTTAATAGAAAGCTATCAGTTGAAGTAAAATCCTTTAAAAAGAAACATTTAACTTACAAGATATTAAATACATAAATAGTATTGTTCTTTCGTAGGAAAAACGAATAAAATGTCAATGTACGCTTCTAAAGTATAGCGTAGAAAGAACAATTGAATTAAATAGAAACTTCATGAATTAACCATACCTGTTGTTTTCTAACTGCTCTTTAAACTAAGGAATTAATATTAATCAAATAATTAGCATAACGTCAAATAGAATTCCTTCGATTGTTACTTTCAACACTGTTCGGTTCATTAAACTCGTCGTCAACGTACACTATCACGAGCCAGCTCAGACCAATTGCCACTTCTCATCGATTCGAATGTTTTCCGTCGTATTTTTCTATATCGTCGTGTGTTCACTCGATCTACTCAACTAAATCACTACGCGTTGCGTGTTATTCTTCTTTAAATTAATTATTATTAGTATCAATAGTAATATTATCTTTACTTGTCGCACCACGACCACGATCGACACGTTCATTTCAATAATTACTCATAGTCTATTATGTTAATGATCATTTATCGATAATCGTGCCAATCGATAGTTCCACTTTTTTACCTATTATATTACCGATATACTCTTTCCTCGTTCGATGATTAGTTTCCCCTATTGTGTTCCATGTTCTCTTCATTGTATTTATATAGCATATCGCTTTTTTACGTCACGTCGAGAACGACGACATCGATCGATTGTCATACATCAGTGGCGTTACACACGGAAATCATTTCGAAAGCAATGAAAGGCACTATTTAGACGTTACGTGGACACTGGTAGTGGCACCGATAATAGTCATAAAACGGTACGGTATTTCCGCCTCGGAAGATAATTACAGCAAGTTTGCTTTGTCGCTCGCGTGCACGTTATTGCGGATTTTGTCATTCGTAGGTTTCCACGTGATTACGATACGCTGACCCGAACTGTACTCGATTCGATAATAGTCGAACATTTCCAGCCAATTTCACTCTGCACTTGTCAATGCTTTCTGTTCGAACTTACTCAGGATTATCACTATTTCATTGAATTATCGATTAGTCGGCTAAGTATGAATAAGATTCAGATCAACACAGGGTTGGTCCTCCTGGACGTGTTCTCTAATGCAACTGCAACCTCGATGATGAGTTTGATCGGATGAAGTAGATGAATATTTATTAAAAAGAGGAGGTAGCTTCACGTAAAAAATGGCGAGTCTGCGTAAAAGTATTCAAAATCCCATTGTCAGTCACTTTCTCTGATTTTTGCTACCATTCCTTACATCGTACACTGGTCGGTTGGATATGTAAATAAAAAGATATCGATGACTTCGAAGAAGTGAGTTAAAAAGTAACGTTGTATTTCAATGTTATTTTCGTTATATAGAACTTATAATTTCAACATTCTTCTCAACTGTCCGCGTTATTATTCCGTCGAGACTTTTCGATCTGACGTTTCGTTTAACATTTATGTAAAAGCTAGACGAAACAAACCGATAGGATATACCTTGAGAAAAAGAACGGACAACATTCGTTCCTTGTACATACAAGCGCTCGTCGTAGCTTCTCGATCGATGCCGGGTGCTCGCGGCGCTTATTTCTCTCTTTTTTCTTTCTTTCGTTTTTTTTACATTAAATCCTCCTGAATTTCCTCATTAAAGTTCTTCCTTTTTTTAAGTACAATGCTGCATTAATAACATGACTCGAACATACTATCGATATAATCGTTTATGATAATTGGTCCTGAACAAATGATAGAACCAAGTTTTGGTTAAGTGTTTAGCGATCATGTGTGTCAAGCGCTGTTCGCGCGCGATAAGATTACTGGATCCTGATTTCGATCTCAGAGAAAGACTTCGACTTCAGGATCCAGAAGGTTGGTATGATATAATCTAAGAATCTGCACTCTCTACGTTACGACTACACTTACACACCTCTATTCTACACTTCCTATGTTATTTCCAATGATCGATTTTATGTATATTTAACGACTGCTTTTTTTCCTACACCGATGCATGTATGAATCGACGCGTACTACTTTGCCGACTGAAACGCTGTATTAGTGGTGCCATGAACTATCGAGCTATCTGTAGATAATCAAAATCGCTATTACAGTCGCGATTCCATAAACTATCGATAGAATACTCTTGCAATTTATATATTTTCTCAGCGTTTTACGGATACCATCTATATAACGATTGTATGTAAGCTCGACACGTTTTTGTCGCTTAAAAAAATTATAACGAGCATGCAAATAAAAGCAGCTCAAAACAGTGTTTCATATACGCACATTCGACACATCGGATAGTAAATGCAGTTTTTAACCCAAATACAAGTTTTATGCCAACGCATAATACATTTATCGAACATTGATCAACTTTGTCGGCAAAGGTGTACGTATTATGCGTCGTTATTTCGAATGGCTTAATGTACTTTGCTGTCTGGACTAGATATTCTGATCGGCGATCATATTCTGGCATCGAGTCTTTCAACGACCCCTTTAAAGGGCCCAGAGATAGAAATGAATTATACACA